ATATATATAGACATGCACATACGCCTGTAAATGCTACATATGGTATACTGATATGTGCATATAGAGAGTGAAGCAAGGTTTAGATGACTTAAAACATTGATCTTGCAGTGTGAGCTTGAGAAGCAGCGTAAGCAGTCGTGTTTGAGTGTATTCATTATCCGTTATGACTCGTCATTGAATATCAAGAAGAGTAGTACAATACAATAGTAGACTGTAGCTATATATAATAAAACAATACGCCCCATAGTTTTAGGCTTTACGACAAAGTACCGCTTATGTGATAAACCTGCGCGTAAACGAAAATGTACTGTGCACCATGAATAATACACACAATCGCCCACAATCGAGATACCAACATGCAGTAAACCGTAAAGAAGGCGCAATACGCTATTTCGTAACCGTGATCCTACAAATATAAATTTAAAATTTCTTACATGCTCTCTGTTGCGAATTGTTGCTGTTCCATGTTGAATGATTGCGTCTGGAGCGAGTCTCTCTGTCCTTCATACCTGGCATTGAGACGAGGAAATATTAATTCGTATTATGATACCTATTGCACCCACACACTCTCAAATTACGATTACGTCCTGTATAGTTTCTATTTTTCATTGGTTGGGGTTCACTGCATGTGCATATACAACCGCGAGTGAGAGGGTGAGAAATCGGAAACTAGTATGCACTCAAACAAACGAACTTGAACTTCGTATGTCACTCAGAATCCACAAAGTATTTCAACTTACAGTTTTTTTTGTTTCAACACTCGCATGGCCCGCTGCTTCACCTGGTTTTTACCGGCACCTTCCCTCATACTCGCCATCTGCTTTTTATACTTTAGCAATTCGGCATCGAGAGAATTGATCTTCTTCTCTATGGCCGCCGCACGCCCATCTGTCGCTGCTATCGCATCTGATAACGTAGGCGCAGGTGCAGCTGCTTTCTTCTTTCCAAAGATCCTATCCATGATTGTGCTCGCGTCAGCACCGCAATCGCGTAGTTTATGTACTCGAATTCGTCTGGAATGCACTTTTCAAAAGCTGCAACATCAAACGGTATCCACATCTTGTGCAATCTGTAAATGATCAAATGATCTATGACTCATTGCTGACACTTGGGTTTGACCGAACAGGCGGACACAGAGTCCCCACTCCCCCCAGAGGGCCCAGAGCCCCCACTCCCCCCAGAGGGCCCAGAGCCCCTGAGTGTTGACACTTGACTCTGCCACTCAATATGTATAATTTTTTTCTTTCTGTTTTTGCTACAAAAAATACAAAAGATAAATACTTTTGGGGGGTATTTAGGGGGCGGGGTGCGGGGAAGACCAACAAAGTTTTTTGAGTGTTTTTGGTATGTACTATTTAGAAGGCCATGGTTTTTGTTGGGTTTTTGTTGTTTGCTTTTAAAAAAAAGAAGACAAAAAAATATTTCAAGTTGGAAATTGGGTCTATTTACTTATTTATTTACTACATACAAGTAGAGAGGGCCGGTAGTAAAAAACCTGGTTTAGAAGAAAAAAACACAATTCCAAAAGCGCAAACAGCGCCCGTTGACTATGTAGGAACTACAGAAGACTCTATGCAACTAAAGAAGAAAAAATATAGCGGCTAAAATTATAGTATTTTTATTATTATCTCAATTTGGCGGAGTATTGGCTGAGCCTGACGAGTGTGGCAGGCGGCAGCGAAACAACAAGAGAAACCAACGATTCACAAAGATTCAATGCTAACCCAAAACATAAGCTAACCAAGGCTTGTGCGTGCTTCAACCGGCGGATGCTATATATCGTCGAAAGAGCCGCAGTTTGTATGAGCGTTCGTCGTACAACGTGAGCATCTATCGGGTGTACAATCACGGGCTGTGATATAGTTGTCAAACCTGAGCTGTAGATAGACTCAGAAGTATAAGCGTAGCTCTCTGAGCACAGTTTGGTACGAGTTTAACTTGCCGGTTATTGCGTTTAGTGTCGCGTGACACGACTATTTCAAAATTACACGTTCACAGGGCTATGTGCTTCCGTGACTTGCCCAATCGTCTCAGGTGAGGACATGCAAACCAACACACAGGCCGAGTGGGCCAATGCAGAACATACATGAATAGCAACGAGCTCTGTCGACACGAAAGTGCCCTTCTAACTTATGATCACATCAACCAGACAAGCGGATCTGGAAAGATCACCCTACAAATAGTATACATACGTATGGGCTAGTATAGTCCAGAAATAGACATCATGCAGGCTAGAGGTTCATTCCGTCCCAGAACCATTGATAATGCCAAACCTTTGCCGATCTATAAGGGCGAAGCGCTTCTTGAAATCGAAGACGATGCACTACAATCACGAGCCTTGCCGTCAGTGGCAACAGGAATGGAAAAAGAGGAGGAAACGGTATGGCTTGATTACGCTGGATCTAAACAGCCACATTTATACTTTCTTATACGTTCATAAGTAAGACATGTCTATATATAGATGAGACATTGAACACAAAGCTGACTACCGTGTGTGAAGTACTAGCGAGTCTTTTGCTTCTGTGTGCTCGGATTTAGGTTACAATACAGAAATGTATACTTAATAATACGGCACACATTAACACACGAACACACACACATATATATATATATTTATTCATATATATATATAAATATATATATATATATATATATATATATATATATATATATATATATATATATATATATATATATATATATATATATATATATATATATATATATATATATAATAATATATATATATATATATAT